AGATCTAAATTTCTTCGTAGTGTTATCTTACAACCTAGTGGAATTTGGTCTGCTAATCCTGGAAAGGTAGTTGGTTTCATAAACCATACCATACCTGACTGGGAAAATACGTGTCCAGGCAATTAGCTGTCCACTCATTAAATGGTGGTCAGCTTGCATGATACGAACAGTAAACTGGGGTACCAGAAAAGTTCAAATAATGGACGCAGTGGTTCAACTCCCCCTAAAAAAAATAGTCCAGACCACTCCTAATCAAATAGTTTGGAGCAGGATTGAACCACACACCAAAAAATTCTGAATTTTACTGGCGATGTAAACATCCATGCATGCAAACATTCATACATGTAAACTTTCTTTTCACGTAAACTAGCAGCTTGCAAGAAATGTTGCAAACAAAAGTGGACAGTTGCATACAATATATGGAATATTGCATGACATGTCTCATAAATTTACACGATCTGTAATCTAAACTTGTATGATATATGACGCTCCATATATGTGCATCAAAGTAACGGAAATAAACACTATTTTTTTAGCTGTGCATGTAAAGGAAATTAGAAAACGGAAAAGACGAACCAGGCAGCTTTGTAGCATAAGTTCTAATAATTGAAATAAAATTGAATTTATGAACGCGTTCTTCGATCTATCTAGGAGATTCCTGCAGCTCAAACCCCCACAGATAAAAATTCTTAATTTTAATTGTGATGTAAACATTCATTCACGTAGACTTGTATTTCATTTAACGCAACCGAACAACTTGCAAACAATGTTGTTTACAAAAATGGGCTTTTGAATACAATATTTACTACATTGCACGAAGTGTGTCAGAACTTTACATGATATATAATGTAAACGTATATGATATGTGACGCTCCATTTATGTGCATCATATTGAACAGAAATTTACACTACTTTTTCGAACTGTGCCGTCCTGCAAACTGCAGCTTGCAGCATCCAATATGGTTCATGTAAACGCGTTCAACAAAACTAACAAAATCTACTAACAACCGCTTTCTTTCTGAGCAGCAAATCTGAATACATTTTCAAGTCTGCTTATAAAATTTGTGTACTTTTTAAGTTGATGTCAATTGATTTTTTCCTCATGAATTTCCTCAGAATCGTTCCATAATTTTTTCATAGCTCTTTAGCACTTCCTATATTTAAATAAGGATTCTCTCCGGAAATGAATTGAAATTTTCTTTACTCTTTACTTCTCTCCTAGTATGGAGTTCTCTTCAAACACTCTTCATATTATATCTAAAGGAGTATTGGCATTCACTGTACAATTCTCTTCAAATACTTTGAAATTCTTGCAAGGATTGGAATGTTGCAAGGAATTTCAATCTCCTCTACGAACAGAAAATTCTTTCAACACGAGGCTTGCCAAGTTGGATAATTATGACGAGTGTTGAAAAAATCGAATTTTGCAACGAGCATAAGCATGAGCATGCTAGACCTCCCGAGGATGCAACTCCGCTATTGCCAGATCAGCTGTAATTACACAGAGAACCAAAAGACGTAGCTTGGGACGAGCAATCATCCTCAATGTGTCACCAGTATTTATCTAAAACTAGACAATACCAGCGCCTGCCACGTCCGGATGCTTGTCAAGAAAGGATTGGGTAGGAATATGTTGACGTAATACTCTATTTAATGGAATCCGAGAAAGCCTCTGCACTTTCACGAGAAATCACTGGGTTGTTGGATAAAAGGGTTGGGATTGCAGCAGGATTCATTTTGGTAAACGATATGCTGAATTGATGTCCTAACGATTCCATTGCGCGAAGGAGCTTGGGTTTGAACCCACGGTCTTCTGCTCAGTAAGTAAAATCGGTCACCACTAGGCCACCGAAGTTGTTATATCACAAAGCAATTACTATCAAGTTTCCGTTCAACTTGATGTTACTAGATTTTGATCCCCTCGGCGACCTCACCGACGACGATAACAACTACTTTTAAGAAGGATTTGTTAAAGATTTCCGATCAATACGTATAGCGTTAGCGTTGTTATGATATAATTCGTAAACACTCACGTCTCTTCTGAAATTCTCAGTTAGACTACTTTCAGGAATAATGCTGGGGAGTAAACATTGGTTCCAATCTAAACAAGAGTAACAGAAGCATCACTGTTGCTATTCCCGGCCACACCCATCTTTACCATAACTAGGGATAGGGAAGCAAATGTTGATGTAGTACTTACTTAACGAGAGGCCACCGACTTAGCGACACCCTCATAAGTGCTACGGAGTTGGAGGGTTGGTTAGGGTATTCGCTTAGGATTCACCTCAAGTTGGCGATGCAACCAAAAGTATGTATTGTTTATTTGTTGTTTATTTAATCTCTCGACAGCCGGCCATCGAAAGACATTATCCATTTTGTTTAGTGATCATTAATTTTAAGAGTCATGACGGAGAACTTGGGATTAAATCCATGATTTTCTGCTCAGTAAGCAAAATCGATCCCTCCTGGGTCACCGAGCATCTCAGAACCATAACGCTTTGCGACAATATGTACAGGACTACGTTTTCGCTTGATATGCAAATAGTTTCCGAGGTTAATGTTCAATATCAAATATACAAATGATGGTCACGATATATTGCTTGGGGTTAAATCCATGATTTTCTGCTCAGTAAGCAATATCGATCCCTCCAGGGTCACCGAGCATCTCATAATCCACAGCACTTCGCGTCAAAGTACAAATATATGGATGAACTATCTATTATTGAATAACTTTTATTTACGATAATTACATGTAAGAAATAAAATATAAACTACAAACAAAACGTGACTACTAAAATCTCAAAAAGATATTCTCACAAATATATTACACGCTCCTAGGAATCTCAAAACCATCACACGCTATAATGATACTCTGAACATGTTAGACACAAGATGAGGCCAAAAAGCAAGCCTCCGACACACAAAACCCGTCAAATCCACTTGCAGTCACAATCAACAATTCTACGAATCGCGAGCGCTCACGAATCATAAAACCGTTGACTACGACACTCTGAAAGCGAAATTGACAGGCTATATGCGTTAAACACCCGCCCTCCGATCTCCTCCCGCATCCAACTACACAAATCTCCATTACAACATCTAACGAATTCAAAACTTCAAAAGTGGAAGCAACCCTGCATGCAACCATTCTTCATGATACACTTTTTCTGCCTATCTTTCTGTTAGGCCTGTGGACATGCGTTAGCTTCGAAACTTCTAACCAAACTAGGAAAATTTTCAGATCACAAAAAAAAAATTTGAAAAAAACTTTCAAAGTAAATTTTTCCATGGGAAGGGAAAGATTTCCGATCAATACGTATTTCCTAAAACTTTAATATTATTTCTTTTACAATCTCGTTCCTCCAGCCGAATTTCAATACGCTTTATCTCGTGTTAAGGAAATAACCAATGTTTCCATTTCTGAAATAATGAGAAGCTTCAATTTAATCATTATATTCTGCTATCAAAGTTACCCGCATTATAAAAGATACCCCATTTAACGGTACCTCAGAAAAGCTAAAACAAGAGATCTTTGGTAAATTTCAAAGATCTTATGGGCAGTTCCTGTAATTGCAGGAAAGTCCAGACTTTTGGAGGAGATTTCTTTGTTGTGGCTTTCTCAGTCTAATTTAATCCAGTCTAGGGTAGGCAATGCCTTATGCCCGATGTTTCGGCCTTTTATTGTGGCCTTTTTAAGGCTACCGTTTGTTTGTTTTATCCTTGAAAATGCCGGCCAAAACGTCGGGCAAACACTGACCGTTTGGACAACCCTAGACTGAGAAAGCAAATAAAAATAAATCTCCCCACATACCAGTCGTACAACCTCATAAATCACTTTTTCAGGAGTTTCAAAATCTATAAGAGTGAGATTAGCTAAATATTTTTTTCGGAAAAAAATACAAAAACCCTTACGATGTGCCAAGAATTTCAGGGAAGTATACCTGAATAGGGATACCTGCAGAGATCTAATGAAAACATCAGAAAAATTATGAAAGCTTCAGAAATATTTCGAGTTCTTCACAGTGGTGCAGTCAACTTCAGGAAAATTAAAAAGTGCTCTGGAGGGTTCCATTTATTCAGAGCAGAACGAAGATATTGTAGAATTATGAGCTTCATGAACAGATCAGAGATCCAAAGGACAGTTCAAATAATGTCAAGCAAGTTTCGATACATTCAGGTAAATTTTGGAATTTACAACAAACCTACGATTTAATTTCTAGAACGTAAGGGAAGTTATATTGACATCAGAAAAATGTTCGAGTATTTTAATATGATTTACATGATTATCATGGGAATTTAATTTTTTTGCTTGATTTGATTTCCGTACTCAGTACCAATGCTACCGACGCCAGGGAGGCAGCTCGCACACCTAGACCCTACCTATCGTTCCATCAGGTAATGGACCGGAGACCAACGGCTCTACTTCCCTTCCGAAGGAAGGCGTGAACAGAGATTTTATGCCCCAGAAAATCCCGGTGGCGCCTACTGGGATTGAACCCAGGCCTTTTAGGGTGTGATGAAATCACGCTTACATCATCGGCGCCGCTATAGGGAATTTCAATAACTTCTAAAATTGGCGAAAATTTAACTAAGCTCATAAGAGAAGCTTCAGGCAGTTCTATTAATTGAAAAAAAAAAACGAAATCTTCAATGAATCTCTTCAAAGAAATTTAGAACTCAAGTACCACGTCTTCATGCAATTATTAATAAGACTTTGACTTTTATCTTTGGGATTATATTTAGAACATTTTTAACAACATTTTACCTGAGCTTGTATGCAACAAATTGGATGGTATATTAGCGTCAAATTACTAGGAAAGCATTGGGAAAACACACTATCTGAAAACCAATCCACCAATCAGTTGGAATGTTGATTTTATATCGCTGCATTGTCCTATTCTTAAGAGTATATCGATAATCCAAACCTCCCGCTTCTATTACCAAAACCCGAATTACTTGAGAAACATCATAATCTCTTTCCTATCTGTTTCTATTTTCAGAAGGATCTCCCCCAAAATATTCAAATTGCGTCCATCGATCGAAAACTCCAAAGCATTCAAGTAAAATCGTTCGACAAATCCATAAATACCACATCCAAGCTCGCACGCATTATCCTGACATAAATCAATCAATGAAAGCCCTATTCCGATCCTGGTCACGTCTTTGCACCAAAAATCCTGTAGCCAGACTTTGCAGCTCCCGAAAAATTCGTCTCAACCCCCTTTAAAGATGGCCAACACGAAAACCCCCATTGCAGTGCACACAAAGACGCCCAGGAAAGATTTTCTGTCTCTCTCTCTCTCTCTCTTTATCTCCAATATTTCAAGGTTGCTTATCTCCCTGGCTTTAACCGGATCATGCAGATATGTGCGCTTGCTTCTTCGGCAGTGCTTATAGCAGATAGGTCCCTTCCCAATGTAGGTACAGCAAGATGAACTTTTCCAATCAACCCAATTATCGCTCCAGGGGAAGTCCCATTCTTCCTCGTGTACTGGAGTCCAAGTTGAAAAGATTATTCCGACTGCTAGTTTTCGGCTAATGAACCATGCATATGTGTGTAATTAGGATGTAGTTCCTCCAACCGTTCGAAGAAAGTTTCAAATTTGCTGCTGGCTGGAAATTCCTGCCGAGCACAATTGGCCTTTTATGGCGAAACTTTATCCTTGATATGGAAATTTTGCACCTTTCCAAAGTTGATTGTTATCTTTCACTTTTCCATACATACAGATGCAGAAAAAGAGAGAGAGAGAGAGACATAACGACTCGTTTTTCGCCTGAATTCCGATGGGTTCAAGCAAATCGATCGTTTCGGAAAATCCCATGCTCAAATCGGAAATTGGTTGGACCATCTCCTCCCTTGTGGTAGACAAAGCAGGGGATTTTTGTGATTCGATTTTTATGATGTCATTATGATTTTATGAGCTTGCTTTCTTCCGTTCATGTCTCTTTGATTGCTCGTATTGCTCGGTTGGACGAGGGCAAGGCGAAATGTGGGGTGCCAGCAGACGAGCAGAGATGGCCATTTGAGCTCCCTAGCATCACTTTGCCGGCTAGGCGGGAACGATTTGTTTGATGGTTTGATTGCTTTCCGTGCCGTAGGTGGTCATTTTACCGGATCAGTAGCCGTTTTGGTCGGCAGTTAATTGCACACTGCCGGGAGTTAATTGAGACAGTATTTCTGCCGAGTTGTGGATGGTGCAAATAGCTTCGGATTATTTTCCCATTGTTCCCAATGGTGTCCGATTCCAATTTTTTTGGTGCCATAACATTAGTGTCATAATTAATCAAACAGATTTGATAATCCCCCTGCAGCAAATCAATGCACAACATCACTAATCACCGACAGATTAAGTTAACATGGCATAATTCCTTCGAATCCCGAGCCACAAATTTGCCGGAATTCTCATTTGCATAAACATGATGTGTGACTGTTTTCTTGTAATCCTTTCTCCGTTCGTTGTGGGCCATCCGTTTCCTTAAACAAAGGGCTCCGCTCCGGCGATAATGACTGTCTTGTGAGAAATCATCGAAAAGTCCCCAGCCCTGCAGCCAGCAAATCTTACCCATAAATCCGCAATGACATGTGTTGCGTGTTTCGAGGATGGTCAGTCTTGAAGGACAAGGAATCTTACATTGTGGACGACGCACAGGCCACAAATTGATTTGCTGCTCGGGACGGCAGCATGAGAAAGTTACACACAGCTCGGACACATTTGTAAAATCGGACAATCTTGAAGGGATTCCAACCGTTAGAGCTTCGAGAGTGAGCGAGAAGGACGACAGATGGATACGTGTAATGGATTTGGCAGTATGCTTTTAGCATTTCATTAGATGTCAGGAAAATCGATAGTTTCTGTGCACTGACTGCTCTGTGGTCATCGCACGAACGTTGGCTACGCTTTCAAGGATTACAAATCCGTGCTGTATGTCCGACTGGACACAAACGGTTGCACGATGCGGTTTGGATATCATTGTCCACAGCGAAGGTTGAGCATTCAGTTTGAAAAGTTGAATGACAAACATGGACTAGGTTGAATTTTGCAGGTTTTTCATTCGGAGAATGAAACCCAACCAATAGGCTTTTGGGTTATTTTAAGATGACGACATATGATTCTTTCTTCTTCTTCGCTTTTCAAGCTTATTGCATATCGCATATTAGCTTATTGCGTGCTCTTAACTTAGTGTTCTAAGATGCACTTCCACAGTTATTAATTGAGAACTTTCGATGCCTGTACCATTTTTGCATTGGTATAATTGGGTGGCAAGTCCAATCATACTTCTATGCCCAGGGAAGTCGAGAAATTTTCCAACCCGAAAAATTCCTAAACCGGACCGGGAATTGAACCCAGCCACCTCCAGCATGGTCTTGCTTTGTTGCTGCGCCTTTGCCGACTGAGCTAAGGGAGGCCCCGACGCCTTATGATTCGTCCTAATGTATTGTTTTGTTTGATCGATTTTGAGACCCTTCATGGATAATTAAATGAACCATTTTTAACTCCTTAATCATAATGAATAATCGCCAATTTTGGCAGCTAAACCACAGGCAAACAGCATTTGCGCAGCTAGAAAATTTATCTCGAGAGGGCCTAGGGGGGTATAAACTCACGAAGGAGCTATTCAATCAAATTGCGTCAAGGCAGCTTGTTTTTGGGTACATTTTTTCCGTGATCAATATTATGACATTGAGGGTTACTATTATTTATAAGATTTTAGGGTTTACTACCCCATTTCCGGCCTATTAAGCACAACCCACACTAAGCCTTTCCTAATCTAGCGTAGTTTATCACCAAACGGAAAATTATTATAAGGCTTCCAAATTTATTTACCTTTCCATAATCCATAAGATTTGATACCGAGAAACAAATTGTTGGGATATTGTTAAAAGTCTAACACTGCTTCTTGACGCCAAACTCGGCCTACGGATTCTAAACTCGGCCTTACGCATTGAAACTATAGTCGCTATATTCATAGTCTGGCGGATAGAACTTCGATCTATCAAAAAGCGAAACCAATTCAATAGATTGTAGATCAACAATTGAAAAGATACTAATAACTTTTATAAACAAAACGTTAATTATTCTTTCCTCGCCAATCGAAGGTAAATTACCAGCATCATCGGATAGGGGAAACTTTCCACAACTTGAAGATGTTGTTAGTTTGTGTAGGCGAGCCTAGAGTCACGGTTGAGTCGTCATCAAATGTGTCATTGGTCAACTCCAAAAGTCATATATGGTAATATTAGAAATCTTCTGATTCAGCTCTTCAAAACGAGAAAACGGTTTCCGAAATTTTGTTCGCAATAGCTGATGTGCTCTTTTCTGTTGTTGGTCGTGATTTGCCCGATTGGTTCCGCTATTTGACAGCTTCCGCTATTTGACAGCTCAATTAGTTCCCGAGATTCTATTCGCGAGACTATGAATATAGCGACTATAATTGAAACGCCAATGAATTCACTTCGGCCTACCGGACGAAAATAAAGATTGATGCGGTCGGAGCGCTTTATTTGTTTTAGAGAAAATTCACGCGTTCTTATTGACTTCGTTCGGTAGCATTTGAACTATAATATCGTACCAAATGCATAATTTACCTGTTAACGCCGAGATTATGGATTTATTTGATGTTTTCTGCTTGATAGGCCTAAAATGGGTGCTTAGGCCCAAGTAATTCTTTACCCTATTGATTTGATAACAACGATTGGGACCTCAATCCGGGGAGCCTTAACAGCTTACTGATTTTGAAAAAGAAATGATCGTTTGTAATTTTGTAAGTCAATTTTTATCACGATGATGAAATAGTGTCGATAGTGTCGATTCGATTTTCGATAATCGAATTTAAATCGAACACGAAATGATGATGATCGAATAAATAGTTATCAAGTTATCGTTCAATGATCGTAATGACATGACATAGCGTTCGGATGTCATAAATTTAAGCATCTTAAACTCAAGTAAATGCTCAAAATTAGGTAATTCTATTAATTTGGTAACTATCTTTTTTGAAATTGCAAATATTTCATCATCAGTTAAATCTCAGACAAAGCAACCAAAATTAAATTCTTGGAGTTTGAATTTGAAACATTGTAAAGTGCACACAGAAGAAATTTCAACTTTTTAGATTTAGGAAAATGCTCAAGATATATGTTCATGCATTTCTTAAAACTTTTGAGATCCCAAACCCATATGTTTTCATGATTTAATAACTAAAAAAGGAAATATATCTGATACAGATTGTAACTTTAAATTCTTTGAATACAAATGTAAAAAAGTCAACAAAATGAGATCAATCGTCATAATTCTAAGACTAAGATAAAACCAAATAACAAAGAATTTCAACAATAATAGTATGTTTGGCTAATTCAAAAGTTTCATAAAAGCTCCACAAAATGAATATGCCTGAAGAAAAAAATCGTAAAAATTTGTTTAAAATAGATGTTAGGGATTAAAAAAAGGTTTTGACAGACAAGCTTTGAATTTTCTGGACTTCAAAAGTCGTAATATAAGATCTTTGTAATCTTACCTCAGGGCTGGTAGCGAGTCACTTTTTAGTGACTTGGTCACTTGTTTCAAGCCAGTCACTAAAAATACTCTTTTTTTAAGGTCAAGTCACTAAGTCACTTATTCTTGTTATAAGTCACTATTTTCAACTATTTTAGCGTGAATATATTTCAATATTGATCATTATTTGCTTTGTGACGTTTAATCGTTTGTTTTTCTCTAGCTACAGGCTGTCTACTCATTTGTCTTGATAAAATTTACTGAGTTTTCCAGTTTTTCTCAGAACTTTAACAGATACATTCACGGCTTATAATAAGAAAGCTTTTTTTAAAATGCGTTCAAAATATGCTTTTTCTGGAAGATCAACAGTAATTAACCCAAGCGTTTTTAAGACATGGCAATCAGTTTTAAGGAAACAAGTTTGTAATCAAATCCAATGAATGTTGAACTTAATTTTTCACTGTTCACAGTTTAAAAAAACGTACTTAATTTGAGTAAGTCCAAAATCTAAAAACATTCATTGTCTTGTAGTTTCGTATTCCATGTACAGGTTCATGATATTGAAA